CCAGAACTCAGTTTTCTCTTATCTTTCACTTGGAATTGATCTTGGATTGTGAAAACACCAAGATTTAACTCGTGGATTTGGATTGTTCGTTGTTCTTTCGACATTGGATTCATATTTAATTGTAAGCTTTCTATTTTATTTTATCTGTGATGATGATGGCTTTGATTGATATTGATGTTGATGTTGAATTGATGATGAGTGGCTAAATTCATATGCTAGGGATAGGAGATTGATGTTTTGAAATCGTTTGTGATTGTGGGCATTCGTTGATTGTTCTTTCCATGCGAGTTAATCTTTTATTATGGTTTTTCAATTATCAGGCTTGAGTATTGATAATTGTTGAAGGGTGACACTTCAACTTACAATTGTTTCAATTGAATTTGATTTATTCGTGCTTGAAATTGGGAATCTAATTGATTAGTCGGTTAATCACCCTCTAGTCTACTTTAATTGACTCTCAGAACTGAAAGGGGAGGAGTCGGTCGAAATAGGCTCGTATGAACTAGGCTTGTTCGTAACTGTATTGCCTAGGAGTTAAATGAATTGTTAATTTGCCGTTCTAGTTTGTTCTCTTGTTACGAAAAGTTATTGAGAATGAGTACTCGAACGTGTCGATTATTCAAATCACTTAGCTGAACAATCACCTGCCCATTAATTGCAATTCGAACCAAAACGGATCTCCCCGACTCCCTAGCTTCTCAAATCCTAATTGTTCTTCGTTACTTGCTTTCTTTATTGCTTAATTTGAATTTTCGCAGTAGTTGATAATTAAATTCAAATCAAACCATCTGAATTAGAATGTTTAGGAATTTTGTTTCCCTTTTTGTTTGAATAAACGTATAGAATATTCCGGCTAACCTTCCTCGTGAGACACGACCCGGTGTTCGAATCTTTAGATTCTACTCTGGAAAAATTATTACACTAAATGCTTCACAAACATCAAATTTCACCACAAAGGCACAACAAACCATACTTAACAATTCGAAGGAGAAAAACACCCATGGTAGTATTTTATATCTCCAATTTAGGAGGGCCTGGGTTATCTTTAGGCACTTTCATAAAGCACAAATACAAAATCCTCTTTCTTTTCTCATTTTTTCCAACCATGAAAAAAATATTTAGATTTCTAAAACCATTCAAATGATGAATACGCTATGCAATTTTGTTATTGCTCAAAAATAAAAATGGGAAAATAACTAGTGAACCCTAATGCTAATAAAAAAATCAATCGCCATCCATGTAGAAAATTTTTTCATTCAAAAATTAGAACTTGATGAGTAATTCTAAGAACCCTACAAATGCCGAAGAAGAAAATCATACAGTCCCTCCGTCCCTCACACTGTGGCCAATGATGGAGAGAGAACAAAGAAACCCGCGAGTAGTACTCGATCTTCAGGCTGGTTCCGGAGGCTTTGGGAAATTTAATGTTTGGATGTCGTTAATTGCTCTGAAAAATCTCAAGCCAACGATTCTCCTTCAGTCTTCTCGCCCGCCATATTTTTCCCGTGAATCTGAAAAATTTTCTCGTTTTTTCCCACTATTCCAAAGATTTTGGCACGTTTATTTGTGACTCAGACTGTCCAATACACTGTTTGAAGGCAAACAGTGGGCTTGACTAGTGTTATGCCACGTCAAAAAATACCGCCCATGACACAGTGCACTGTAGAAGAAAATATGAAGACATTGTGACATGACATAGATTTTTTTTCCTTTAACAGCCTACGCTGGAGATGCTCTAAGACCATCTCCAACCAAAAATCTTATACTGAAACAATTTTTTTTGCAGTAATTCATCTCCAACTGAAAAATCCATTTTCAAACCTGAAAGAATATTCTCAGAATATTCTCTTTCACATCAACTTTTACAACTTTTCAATACTACCCATATATTTTATAATTTTACAAATTAAACCACAATATTATTTTATATTCAACTTGGACTTTATGAATAAAATTAATTATAAAGTTATATCATATACATAATAAAATTGGAGAAATTAATATTCATTACAATTTTAAATTGAAAAATTACATCACACAAGACAAAATTAAATTTGAACGCACAAGATAAAAATTAAAAATCACATCACACAAGATAAAATTAAAAATTAGAGCGCACAAGATGAAAAATTAAAAATTACATCACACAAGATAAAATTAAAAATTAGAGCGCACAAGATGAAAAATTAAAAATTACATCACACAAGATAAAATTAAAAATTATAACGCACAAATAATATTTTTATTTTATATTATTATTTTGAAATATACAAAATTAAATGATAAATATAATAGTATTATTTTAAATTTTAATTATATTTTAAAAAAGGTTATATTATTTGAATTTATTATCAATAATTTCTTAATCTCTTCACAAATTTATTCAAACTTCTTTAGAAATCTCCTAGAAATATTTTACAAATACTATTATATTTTTTTATTCAAATGAATATACTAGAAATATTTTACAAATACTTTCATAATGTTTTGATTAAACCTATTATAGAATGTTCACACCCTATATATAAATGTCTAATTCTATTTTTTTATATTTCATATTTTTGTACTATTATTTTAATTGTGCCAAGTAATATGAAAACATGTATAAATATAAATTAGAGAAACAAATATATTTCGTAAACTAGTTTTTTATTATACATTTATATAAAAAATAACAATTTACATACCCAACAAATAATATATATTTTGTTCATTCAAATAAAAAATAACAACATTATAGTTACGAAAGTTTAATATATATATAGATTGGTTTCAATGCATATGTGAGAACGTGAGACTCATTTTTAGTCTCAAGATTTGGTACATCATGTGTGGCCAAGATTTACTTTTTTATTTTTATTATTTTAATTATTTAAATATTATTTTGACTTGTTGACTCCGGCGTTGACCGTTGACTTCCGGCGAAATCCGTTGACTTCTGGCGTTGATCGTTGACAACTAACCTTCCAACTAGGTTAGTTTTATGTAGTTGCTAGGTTAGTTGTTTGTAGTTGCTATGTTAGTTCTCTGTAGTTGCTAGGTTAATTCTCTCTAATTGCTAGGTTAGTTCTCTGTAGTTGCTAGGTTAGTTCTATGTAGTTACTAGGTTAGTTGTCTGTAGTTACTAGGTTAGTTCTTTGTAATTGTTAGGTTAGTTTTCTGTAGTTGCGAGGTTAGTTCTTTGTAGTTGCTAAGTTAGTTTTTTGTAGTTGCTAGGTTAGTTCTTTGTAATTGCTAGGTTAGTTCTCTGTAGTTGCTAGGTTACTAGTTGCTAGGTTAGTTCTCTGTAGTTGCTAGGTTAGTTCTCTGTAGTTGCTAGGTTAGTTTTTTGTAGTTGCTAAGTTAGTTCTCTGTAGTTGCTAAGTTAGTTCTCTGTAGTTGCTAAGTTAGTTCTCTGTAGTTGCTAAGTTAATAGTTGCTAGGTTAGTTCTCTGTCGTTGATAGGCTAGTTCTCTGTAGTTGCTAGGTTAGTTCTCTGTAGTTGCTAGGTTAGTTCTCTGTAGTTGCTAGATTAGTTGTCTGTAATTGCTATGAGCTGTCCGTATTTTAAGAACTGGCCGCATTTGATTCGCCCCCTATATATATATATATATATATGTATATATAACTAATCGGTTGGAACATTTTCTGCCGTTGGGTTTATGTTTGCAGCTCGGTTGGAGTTGCTCTAAGGGCTTGATTGTTTATAAAATAATTTGTTCAAAATGAGTTATTTTGGTTAATCATAGTTAATTTTGAAAAAGGTAGTATAGTTAATTGATAGTGGAATTTTAAGAATGAAGTAAAATAATATTTAAAATAAAATAATAACCATTGATTTGATGTAAAAATATGAGATAAATGATTGAAAACGATAAGTAGTTAAAATTATGTGAGTGGATGAATAGTGAATTAAACTTGATCTGATGTGCAAGACTGATTGGTTCATATTATTTAATTATATAAATAATATTAAAGATAGTGGGGTTGATTTAAGTTGAGTTAACTTTTAAGTATGAAATAAAGTTGAGTAAATTATTTCATAAACAATAACCCCCAAGCCAGTGACATATTTTTTTGGTTAAAATTGTTTGCTTGATAAGGTTAAATTATATATTTTTTAGGTGTTGGAGGCAATGATTTAAATACCGTATCTGCCGGTAATACCGGATTCCGGCCATTGGTACGGTACTATTACAATCAAAATACCAAATTTACGGTTATACCAGTTTGTACCGGAATCATACCGGAAAATACCGGCCCAAAATACCGGTCAATAATAAAAATAAAAAAAATAAAATATATTAATTTAAAAGCATAAAATTTAAATTGGTAGTTAAAATTTTTTATTTTTATCTCATTGAGAAGTTGAAATTAATGATTATGGTCATTTATTTTTTTTAGTTTTTTGCATTTGGTATTATATATCTATATATATCATTATATTTGCTAGTCCGGTAATGCCACCGATATTATCGATCCGACTGATAATACCGCGTACCGGTGACTACACCGGTATAACCACCGGTACCATATTTAAAACACTGGTGGGAGGTTTTGGTCTTGTTTTGATAGTCATTTTTTTTTTTTTCTTTTTTAATGGTATAGGATATTTGTGTATACAGTGACACACATAGGATTTTTTTTTTCTTTTTTGTTAGTCAGTTTTTTTGGTTTTTATTTTTTCTTTTTTGCAATCCTTGTATTAAAAAGGTACTAGATATTAAGTGACAGTGACACAATGTGAGAACTAAAATGTATAGTTGAATAATATTTATTTTACGAAAAAAAAAAATAAAAAACATTTTACCTGTTGTTATTGAGTGTAAATTGGGACACAATTTTTATTGTGAGTAGATCAACAAATTGATGCTTATTCTTATTCTTCCCAACAAATTGATGCTTCCCAACAAATTGATGCTTATTCTTCTCAACCACCTCATCTACCATATTTTTATTCTTCCTAACAAACCAAAATGTCAATGATATTATGCTTTCTTCACACCTATATAATGGGACATCATATTATTTGATGAAACACACAAAAAGAGAAGGAAACACGCAGAGAAAGAAAGGAGAAGCAAATAAAAAGAAAGGAAGAGAGAGAATAAGAAAAGAGAAGGAGAAAAAAATAAATATATTATATATTTTTATTTTTAGTGCTCAATTCTCGATTCCTTTTCAGTTCGCCGGAGCTCGTAAATCTGGTGTGCTACAGATTTAGAGACGTTTGCCGTTGTATCTTTGGGGAAGTTACGCCTGAACCGTTAGCTGCCACACGGGGCGTATTCTTCTTGCGGAAAGAGCTTTACTCGCCTCGGCTAAAATCTTTCCGTTTTAATTTTTAATTTATTTTTAGGTTGTAATTTATTTTTCAGTTCGATTGTAATTTTCTATTTTATAGATTATTTGTAAGAACTGAAAAATACATATCAGTTCGTAGGATTCCCGTGTAATATTTATACCCAGTTGATAACATTACCTTGTAACAATATACACACTAGGCTATTGTGAGATCAAATGAAATTATAGAGGTACTTTTCTAAAAGGAAAAAAAATGTTGGACCCAATTTGCAATTTTTGTAGTACTGTGGAGTGTCTTTTGTGTGGTTCATATGAACATGCTAGATAACATTTTAATCGTTTTTAAATAAAGATAGTTATTAATTATGCATTTCCAATTGAGTTTTTCATCATGGGATCAAAAACCGGTGCAATCATGTAGGGTCGAATTTAGCCTGGTTTTCATGTTTACACCTAACAGCCTACATAAATGCTGTAGGCTAGTGGTTGGATCATAGAACACTGAAATTACAACTCAGTGGAAAGTGGAAACAGTATCTTCAGCAATTGCCATTGTTTGACGAAAGGAAGCATCAGACACACGTTGTCTCAATCTCAGCAGCCCCACAAATTTTCCTTTTTTTCCATCCATAGAACAGTGGAAAGCTTGGCCCTGCACCTGCAAATTGTGTCCAAGTTGTATATATTTACATACACCCACACGAGTGTCTCTACATACAACGGTAAAAAACCGAATTTTCCCTTTTTTCAGTATTTTTTCCCATGTTTTCTGCTACCTAAGGCTTGCACAATGCACATAACTAAAGGGTCTTTCTTTCTAACTGTAGCAATTGAACAAGTTACAAGATTTGAACAATGCACATAACTAGATGGCCCTGGGAAAAATCAAAAGATTTCAACTTAACAGACTAAAAGGAAGTGTTTATGAAATCAAACTAGAAGGCAAACACATACTTGTTAGAGGCTCGAAAACACCAGGTATTAAGGAATCAAAACTTCAACACAAAGAAGAAAATAGAGCTTCTACTTTGTGTACAAGTAATATTCCACCCAACAACAAAAATACCACAAAACTTAAAAGATAAAGTCAGTCAGGCTGACAAGTACACAAATTTTATTGAAACCAATAAACTAAAGCTGAAAAAATAATACTCATAATCTTCCCAACATTATTCCCATGGCAGCCTAAGATCAGCAATTATTTAAACCAACACACACACACACTAATCATTACTAAAAATCAATCCACAAACAACCATTATTTTTTTCAAGAATCAAGAGCAGGAAAACAGCTCCCCGACCGGACCAAACAACGGCCCCTCCTCGCGGGCCCAGACCGGCCCGGAGATTCGAGGCTCCTCATAAGCAGGTGCTTCACAGCGGAGATCAGCTCCTCAGTCGGGCTTTCCGGCGGGCTCAAACTCAGGGTCTTGAACTTCCGGCAGAAGCTCATGTGCTGGTCCAGGGCCTCTTCGTGCCCAATTGTCTTCTCCGACCTCACCAGCTCGTCCTTCACGGCCTCCGAGCAAAGCCCGCATAGCCACCGCCCGGAATAACGGTCACGGACCCGCTTTATGTACTCCTCCGTGCACTCCTCCGTCAGACCACAACACTCGCACTTGGCTAGAGCGAGCTCCGTTCCTTTCAAAACGGCCGGGGTTTGGGTTTGCTGCGCGAGCTCCATGGAAGCTGGTAGCTAAATTTGGAGGAAAACAAGAAAATAGTTAATTTGATTCTTGAGAGGCGTTTCGTATAAAGGAAGGAAATGTTAGAAAGTAACTGAAACTTATTTCGAAATTCAAAATACGAAAAAGAAGGGGGAAAAGATTTTGCCGAAAAACCTAATCTTGAAACGAACAAAATTAAAGCTGCAATAAATTAATGAAAAAAAATGAATGAATTAATCAATCCCACATTAAAAGGACCTGGTTGAATCTTGAAAAGTTCTTGTTGGGACCTTTCTATTTTCCCTTTTTTGTTGATGGGTTTTTGATACAAAATGTTATCTTTCTTTCTCCCACTCGCCTTCTTGTTCGACAATCTCTCCACCAATGATCAGAAGCTTGGAAATCACATACATTTCAAAGAGCCCCTTTTGGCTCTATTTTTGTTTGTGCCTTTCAATGATGGGTCACGCTACAGGGAAAACGGAGCAGAAGTGAGAAGAAGGTTCATGAACTTTTGTGCAGGGTTTCTTTCATATGTGAAAAAACTGCAGATGTGTGAGTATTATATATGTGTGTGGGAGTGTACTGTACATATATGTATGAAAAGGTAGAATGGTTGGAAAGATTTTCTGGACTCTTTTCATGTGCAATTGTGCAGTGTAATGACAGGAAATGCCATGTACAGTGATTGGCAGATGCACATGTTACTGCACAGGATAGGNTCTTGATATTTGTCCAGGTTTTAATTTACATGAATTATAAACACTATTTCCAGTCCCACCATTTAATGAAACAAAAAAAGTGCATTATTTTTCATATGTGGCTTTTATTTTATATAGTGTGAGCTTGTGAGGAAAAAGGTTATACATGCATTATTATTATTGAACCACAGGTTCCAAGAGCATTTTAAAACGCGTAGAAGTTGGTATAATATACACTTTTGAGCGTTCTTGGGAATAGTATAATTCTCCAGATCCATTATTGGTAATTAGCATATCAACTAAAAAAAAAGATTTCAGGATTTCGCAGTGAATTTTCACCCTAGTCCACGGGGTTTAACCTCATAAGTCCTTACAATGCACATTTGTACGCGACAATTGTGTTCCAAGGATTAAAAACTTTGTAGGATAAATGCTCATGGGATACGATGGATTCTTCTGGATTAAGCATGTCTTGTATAGTTGACCGGCTTAATAGCATACTTCAGAGACATAATTATCACTATTTGTTCAATTAGGGATGTAGAAAGTGAAGAAAAATAACAAGTGTCATAAGTTGCTGCAATGTTTTATCTAACTAATGGTTGAAATTAAATAAAGACTAGTATTCGACTATGTGCATTTGCACAGATGTAAATAAAATTAAATATTATAAGTTATATTTATGTATATAATATAAAAATTATAAGTTATATAATTGTATTATATTTCAAACATATAGTATTATAAGTTATATTTATGTATATAATATTAAAATTATAAATTATATAATAGTATTATATTTTAAAATTTGATCATTGGTTAAAATAAATAATACACACGATTTGATTGTATTGATTGCATAAAATGTAATAAATATATACTTTTTATAATTTTGAGTGATCATGACCAATTAATTAGCTGAAAAATATTACATTTATTATAACGATTGCTTATGTGATTTTAAGAAATTTTACTATGACTTAAAAAAAATATATTTTTAATAAACAACATCTTCATCATATAAAAAAATATCGATTTTAGTGTAAAATATAATTTTATGTAACTTTCATATATTATTTAGTATAAAATATAATTACTAATTTTAATATTAACTATTATATTATTCAATAAAAAATATAATTATTAATTAATTAACATAAAATATAATGGTTTTTGTCTTAATTAACCCAAAAAATATAATGAAATATTTTTGTATTAATGAGATTGGGTGTATTAATGCCACATAAATAAAATTTATTAGGTTCTATTTATTAGGTTTTATTAATGATTTGCCACATAGGTAAAATTTATTAGGTTTTATTTATTAGGTAAAACTTATTGCTTAGCTAGCAATTATATATACTAGTATTCGACCTGTGCATTTGCACAGATATAAATAAATTATTGTGAGTCTGTATGCATATAATGATTAATTATTTTTTTCTTTCACTTTTTTGCAGACCAAATTTACAATTAAAAGAGTTGGAATATTTTTTTTTTAAATTGCGTGTATATGATTGGATGTAATGTATATTTTGGTACGTCTTTTATTTGTGAATTATTTATTATTTATTTAGGAATTTCAAATATATATTTTATTTAAAAAAAAAATTAAATGTAACAACAATAATAACATCTAATCACATTATACGGTCAACACATTATATGGTCAACTGTCATTAATAAAAAATTTAAAATAATTTTTGTAATTTTGAAGTGATGAGTATTAATTATTTAATGATTAAATGAAAGATTAAATACATCAAAATGTAACGGTTTTGGAGGGAAAATTGTTAAATTGCCACATAGGTAAAATTAAATAGGTTTTATTAAATGTTTTGAGCTAGTAATTATATATATATAGATATAGATATCATCTAATACACTTACACTTACAAAAATAAAAAGTGACAGACTTAATTAACTTCCACCCATTACTCTTGACTTAGTTTATTTAATGCTCAAACTCAGCTCTAAACAAGTTGAATTCGACTTCATCTATTAAACTTGTGTAATACTCTATAGCTTAGATTGTTAAAACAGAGTTTGATTTGTAAAATTGATAAACAAGTTCAAGCTCGTTTATTAATTGCTTAAGTTAAGTTGCAAATCTAGTCTCGAGTTCGAATTTGAATGAATAACAAGAACTCGAACTGGGAATAAGTGGTTTAGATCTTTGGGTGAACTAGCATTCGATCCTACGCACATGCACAGATGCAAATAAAATTTTATATGTTATATGTATGTGTATGTAATATTTAAAATCATAAGTTAGATAATAGCATATCACATTTTTATAAATTTTATCATTAGTAAAAATGAATGATAAACTATTAACTTACATATTAATTTTTATATCGATTGCAGTTATATAGTTTTTGCAATCTTTTTTTATTATGAACAATTGATTAGATAAAATAATATTAAATTATTATTATTATTATTATTATTATAGCAATTGTGTATAAAATTTTAAAAATTTTGGTTATATCATAAAAATTAAATAACTAATCTTAATTAAAAAAAAAACTTGCTTAATTTAAGACAAAAAAATAGTAATTTAAATAAATATTTTTGAAAAAATAAATTATAATACCATTTAATTTGACTTTATGATTTGTTAGTAGTAGTTGTTACATAATAAAATAAATAAAAAAATATAAATCTATTATTATATAAAAAGAATAACCTTTTTTACAATTTCAAAAATGTTTTCCCGTCAAATTTATTAAATATATTCTATATATAATAATTGTTGGACAATATTAATTAAGGCAATAAAATCGACAGATTAATTGTGTTAGAATCTATTTTTCTTTTCCTGTTAGATTAATTGTGTTAGAATCTGTTTTCAAGCGTTATAAAATCTCATAGTGAGTTTATCTCTTATCTATTACAAAATGCTGCTTAAGTTTATCTCTTATCTGTTACAAAATCTCATAATCTCATAGCATAAATCTAGAGTTTATCTCTTATCTGTTATAAACTCTTATCTGTTACAAAATCATAAATCTAGAGTTTATCTCTTATATGTTATAAACTCTAGATTTATCTCTTATCTGTTATAAACTCTTATCTATTACAAAATCATAAATCTAGAGTTTATCTCTTATTTGTTATAAACTCTTATCTGTTACAAAATCACATTGCATATGTCTCACGAGTTTAAAAAATCTCACCTCTTATCTATAAGGATTTAAAAAAATAAAATAAAATAAAAACTAATTCATAATTACTACTAGAAATCCATTATCTACCTTAAAAAACTAATTTTCATCGGTCTAATTACTAATATTTTTTACAAATATTATAAGCTAACAATACATCCTCGATAACAACGTAAAAGGTAAATAATAATGATGTGTACTCAAATTTTTTAGATGGAAGTAAGGCCGTATCATCTGACATAATGTCTTTTTTAAATTATGCTTATAATATTTTAGATATTTTAAACAAATTGTTTAAACATTTTTTTTTACATATTCGTCTCTCTCTCTCTCTCTCTCTATATATATATATATATACATATACACATATACATAATTGATGTTAAATTTAAATATTTGTAGACATGTTTTTCTTTACAAAATAGTCTAGAAAAATCTTTTTTACACAATGTTAAATTCAAATGTTTTTAGATATGTTTTCCTTTTAAAATTGTTTAGAAAAGTTATAGGTGACTTCACATCTTTCAAAAATAGTATAGAAAATTTTGAATACTTTTACATATTCTAATATAATATTTTAGGTGTTTTTAATATTAAACATACAAATTTTATATTCTCTTATACAAAATAATGTAAATTTCATATTCTCTTATACAAAATAGTTTTACATTGTTTGACCCCGAATCTTTAATTTATAATTATTAAGTATTGTTTATCCTCCTCTTTAATTTATAATTATTTTTTTTTCTTTCTCTTTTTAAATAGGATCAATAGCAGTTTCCACTTCCGCCATTGAGTGACTAAAACTCGAGGTCTATTTATAATATTGTTAATTTAATATTTTTCCCGTGCATCGCACGAGATACACACTAGTACTTAATTAATACAAAGTAAAGTCTTTTGGAGGAAAAAAAAAACTTAGAGGTTTTATCAAATGAGAGCCTATTATTAGCCTAATTACTAATACATCCCAATATTTTCTAGTTGGAAGTTAATTTGTTAATTGCAATAATGATGAAAATTGACAGAAAGAAAATTATCCAGCAAAGAAAAAGATAGAGAGAATAAAATAGAAATATTGTGACCTTAATATTCCATGTGGTCATAAAATATTAAAAAATGTGAAGAAAATAAATAAAAAAAAGGTGTGGTGAGGAAAAACTAAAACGAAAAGGTTAAGGGGCAAAAAAGGAAAAAAAACAAAATAGTATTGTACAGATACTACCAAGTCTACTGAGAAGGTAGAAGGGAGATAGCAATGTTTTCGTCTGAAATGAATAGAGAGAAAGATTAGACACAGAAGAAAGTAGGAGCAAAAGTAAATCAATATTTTTATATGAGCTATATATATTCTGATAAGCAGAATCAGCTAACTCTCTGATTATCAAACAAATTGTAAATTTTGCTTTTTTAATCTGTTGAAAACCTTATCTACTTTTCTTTTCGTGTTTGTGTGGTCATGGATACATTCAATATGGCTTCTTTCACCTCAGAGTTTCGTGAAGGTATATTGATGCGAGCCAGATCTAGTGTAGGCTTTTTATTCCGTTTCAATTGTATTTGGTTTTTATTTTCTGTCGGGGTTTTTTCGTGATTGATGGTTCATATATTCGGAGATCTACGGAGATAGGTTGTGAGATTGAAGCCCAATGGTTTTACTTTACTTTTGATCGTTGTTTTTGCTGGTTTAGTGATTTGTTTACAGGAATTTTGTAGAATTTTAGTCTAATATTGTCCTTGACAAAGTTACAGTTTTCTTTAGTGGGTGCATGGATTGTAGCTGCTGACAATGAATGAGTTCGATGTCTGCAGATGATTAGTTGTTTGGCTATNCTTTTTTTCTTGATTATTTGTTGCTGTGAGAAAGGTGTGGGCTTTGTTACTCTAATTATGCCTGCCTTCTGTACTGTCCTTGCTTGTTTTGGATAGGTGTTTATTATTCTCAATATGGTAAAATTCAGGTGACCTAATTTATCCCCTTTCGAAGCAATAAGAAAAATGCAAACTTCTCATGTTCTGCTTTAACTAGAAATTTGTCTGAAAGTTGTTGGCTGTTGCAATTTTTAGTGGTATGATTTCACAGGCTTTAGTAGGATAAGAATGAGAAGACGATGATGGTGATAATGATAATTTGTACTTTTTCCCCCCGAAAATACTATTTGCCCTCGCTATAATCAGATTACATGCGTCATTGAGATTTGAGTCTCTGTTGCCTGTGATGTCTTTGAATGTAACATTTGAGATCACTTTGTTCATGATTAGTTGCTTTCTCCAGCTACTTTCTTTGTGATTCTTATTTTCTTATCAGTTTGCATTTTTGAGAGTTGACTATTATTTTATCTTGCTCATCACTGAGAATGGATTTTCCTAATTTTTTAGACTTCATACATTTGCAGGGTTTGGCTGACACATATTCAGTATTACATACCCATTGATTCTTCCCTTTTTTAAAAAATCTTATATCCATTCTCTATCAATTTAAAGACGAAAAATAGAATAAGCAAAGTAAGAATGCACTCGCCTGGAAATGGAGCTTCTTCTGGTGACAGAAAGCTTAATGCTGCAAAAGCAACTCTGAACCCCAACGCCACAGAATTTGTTCCTTTTGCCCTCAGGTCACCTTCTGCTAGCATCAGCAGCTCAGGGGCATGTTCAAAGTTCGCTAATGCCAAACCTTTCACACCTGGGAAAAGTTTATTAGACAGATCAGGGTCGTCTGCTTCAATCAATTCCGATGATGAAGCACAGCAGTACTGGCGCCATCAGCTTCCTGACGATATAACTCCTGATTTTAAGGTCATGGGATTAGACGACACTCAAGGAGTCAATAACTTGCCATTTTCAAGCTTATCGTTGACTGATATTAATGAAGGTTCAAGATATTCTGCTTCAACTGGAGTTTCTCCTCATCCTATTAATGGTAACAATCATGCTGAAAAGCTGAGATTCTCACCTTATGGAGAATATGCATCTCCCACTGATTTCCATCCTTCGCTGGGAAAACCATGGGACCCACCGATTGTAGGAAATGATCAGCTTCTTGCTCAAGAAGTACATGAAGGTGGAAATTCAGGACATGACTATCTGGGTAATGTGTCAAGTGAGCAGTCACTCTACGACAATCCAGATGTGAACCCTCTTGACCTTTTAGCTTCGCAATTTCCGGGTTTTGCTGCGGAAAGTCTTGCGGAGGTGTATTTTGCTAATGCCGGGGATTTAAATCTTACTATTGAAATGCTTACTCAGCTCGAGGTAGCTATTTTGCAAATTTGTGGATGATTTAAAGTTTGATAATTTTACCTTCTATTTAAACTTACCTGTAACATTTATCAGCCATGGGGTTGGATATTAATTCTAAGTCTAAATTGAACTTCCTTAATTTTCTATCCTATTATTATGTTTGACTGGCAAAACGTAGTTAGAATTGGAATGATTTTCACAGAGAATTCTCTTGCACACACAAGTGGCTTTTCCGTTGTACATGGATATCTTGTTATTTTTAACTTCTCAATTTTGTTGCAGCTTCAGGTCGATGGAGGCTTAAATCAAAGTCTCAACTCAAAAGCCTTGTCGTCTCCAAATCTTAGTGCCATGGACTTTCCAGCTCTTACTTCCAGAGTCGATCAGAATGATTTATCGAAAATCGGAGGTGATAGCCTCCATCAAAATGGTGGTTCCACACTATTATTCAGATCTAATTCCTTTGCTCCAAGAGGTGCCGCAGATTTTGCTTCAGCTGTGAGAAAAATGACGTCTCAAGATTCCAACATATGGAAGTATGAAAGAAATGGTTCTTCGGGTGCAACCATTGGATCAAGTAGAAGTTCCCAAGTTTTGGCTAGCTCGTATAATGGGGGTCCTAACAGGAGTGTGTACGGTGATAAGTATCAGAGTCGAGGATCAGCTCACGTGCCTCCAGTTTGGCTTGAAACGGGAGAATCTGTCGGTAATGATATATTTTGGGCAATTAAATTTCGCTAGCTCGTTAAATATTTTGGAAAATGATTTTATGCGGGTTTTTATAAACTTTTAACTTTGATGAGCTGGCAGCAAATATGTACTCTGAAATGCGGGAGGAAGCTCGTGATCACGCACGTGTTCGTAATGTGTACTTTGAACAGGTATGTTATGTTCATAGCAGAGCAGAATCAATCATCAATTTTTTCTCCACTGTAATTTACCAGAGAATTTGAAGGGGTTGAGATTAAACTAATTTGACTTTATGAACATGTCTAAGAGTTTATATTTTGTTGAGATGTTTTTTTTATTTATATAGTTTCAAATATTTGTATATCTATTAGACTATTAGTGAAGTCTCTTTAATGTTGGCTGAATTTTCCATGTGAGAAAAGGCACGGCAAGCATACCTTATTGGTAACAAGGCCTTAGCCAAGGAGTTGAGCATTAAAGGACAGTTACACAACATGCAGATGAAAGCAGCTCACGGGAAGGCACAGGAAACTATATATCGTCAGAGGTTTGTTGTCTGTGGAACATGAAGCGCATAGGTTTTAATTCATGTCAATAATAACAATGCTGGCCTCCTCAATTTGGTAATATTAAATTGTAACACTTAGAAATCCTTTGAAATCTTTACTGGTTTTGTTATTTGGTCATGTTTCACAATTTTGTATTATTCTTTTTTACTGATATTCAAATTGTAGTATTTGTAGTGGAAGTATATGTTGAATAGATCAAAGAGAAGCATAAGTTGAAATCTAATGTGGTGCTTGGACAAGGAAAACCCTAACAATTTCCAATCACTTTTCACCAATCACTTTTTTTTTAACTCAAAATCTAACTCAACTTCACGATCCTCAATATTATCAATATTATTAAATTGTACCAATCATCCTTACACATCACATCAAATTTAATTCACTCACATCATTTTAACTACCCATCACTTCGAAGTTCCAATCACCTCTCTTATACTTTTACACCATGTATACTTTAATCATGTATTATTTTCATACAAATCCAAAATCCCACTAAAACCTAACCAACCAACTTTTTCAAAATTAACTATAGTTAACCAAAAAAACCAATCAAAGCCAAAATATCCAATCACAAACTTATATCCAAGCACAAGCACACTCCTTAATCTGCTTTCGAAATTTTGTTTTAGTCATGCAGAAGCAGAAGCAAAAATTGATGTTTGGAGTCACTCAAGCCACAAAGTTGGAGATGACTACTTTCTTTCTTTCAGTAAATGTTTGCTGGCACTTTTTGAGTCTTGTTGCATGGTGTTTGCTAATGTGCAGGAATTCAGATATTCAGACAAATGGGAGAGAAAAAATGATCGACCTTCATGGTCTGCATGTGAGTGAAGCTATTCATGTGCTCAAGCGCGAACTAGCTGTAATGAGAAATGCAGCCAGGTCAATGGACCAACGCTTGCTTGTCTACATATGTGTGGGGACAGGTCACCACACGAGAGGTTCACGTACTCCTGCCCGACTACCGATTGCAATCCAAAGGTACCTTCTAGAAGAAGAGGGTCTCGACTTTTCTGAGCCTCAGCCGGGGCTCCTTCGAGTTGTGATATACTGAATCAGGCAGGTATAGAGATTTTTGCATACTATGGGAGAAAATGTTGAAAAAAATGAAAAATCTGTTGTAAGTAAATGGTAAAGCTGTCTAGGATTACTCTGCAGATGGGTAAAAGGTACAAGAATGGAAACAAAAAAGATGTTAGATGGTCAAGAGGAAGAGGCTCATATATGTCTGTACTACTATAACTGTCAAGTTGGCCGATGTTTTAGAGTATGTTTTTGTAGCTTTAACTGATTTACAATTGCGACCGTCCTATTTTTGTTGATCTCTGTACTTTACTCAATTTTTTGGGTTACATTTTTGCATCATTTGTGATATATGTGCAGGCCTGCAGCAGATGTAATGGTGGGGAATTATTTCTACTTTAGATATTTCACCACTGGAATTGGGTAGAGTTTACAAATCAATATACATTTCTTGGATATCATTGCAAACACTACCCAAGTCCTCAAATGTATTAGAAAATGCTACAAAATCTTTAGATAATCTTGATATGAAATAATGTACATAGGGTGATATGAACTTTTCACATAGGTGAATAAACACATACTTGGATGTGCCTACATGCCACGATGTCAAGATCTCATAATTCGTTTAACACCATATAGGCATAACACAGTATGTTAATATCTCTGACATATTTGTTGGTGGACATATTAATTCATGCTAAGATGTGCTCACAAGTCATGTGTCAAAATCTCATAATATTTTAACACAATACATGTAATATGTTAATCTTTCCCTACACTCATAATATTTGAACTTCATCTTACACGTAGTATGTTAATCTTTCGCCATATGAATTGACTCATTTGAGGATATCAATAGACGCTTGATAAGGAGAATTCGGGAGACAGAGATCGGAGAGGCTATGAAGAGGATGAAGGGAGGTAAAACAATGGGCCCTGATGGTATCCCCATTGAGGTGTGGAGATGCTTGGGCGCCAGAGCGTTAGTATGGCTAATTAAGCTTTTTAACCTCATTTTCCAGTCAAACAAGATGCCTGATGAATGGAGGAGAAGTACTTTAGTACCGATCTTCAAGAACAAGGGAGATGTTCAAAGTTGTGGTAACTACCGTGGGATTAGGTTGATGAGCCATACGATGAAGCTCTGGGAGAGGGTTATCGAGTATCGCCTACGACGAGTGACGAGTGTGACCCAAAACCAATTTGGGTTTATGCCTGGAAGATCGATCATGGAGGCGATTTTCCTAATACGACAGTTGACGGAGAGATATAGGGACCAAAAGAAGGACTTGCACATGGTCTTTATCGACCTTGAGAAGGCTTATGACAGAGTACCGAGGAATGTCATGTGGTGGGCCTTAGAAAAGCACAAAGTCCCATCTAAGTACATTACCCTCATCAAGGATATGTACAAGGATGCGATGGCGTGTGTCCGAACATGTGGGGGCGATACCAGCGACTTCCCAATTAAAATAGGACTACACCAGGGGTCAACATTGAGCCCATATTTATTTGCCTTGGTGATGGATGAGGCCACAAGGGACATACAAGGTGATATCCCTTGGTGTATGCTCTTTGCTGATGATGTGGTGCTAGTTGACAAGAGTAGGGCAGGGTAAATAGGAAGTTAGAGCTGTGGAAGGACACGTTAGAGTCGAAAGGCTTCAGACTTAGTAGAACGAAGACCGAGTACATGACGTGCGCTTTCAGCATTGCTACACATGATGATGGTGACGTTAGCCTTGACGGGCAAGTGGTAGCCAAGAAGGAGACTTTCCGGTATTTAGGATCAATGCTACAAAAAGATGGCGGCATTGATGTTGATGTTAGGCATATGGCTTCAAGCTGGCGTTCTCTGTGATACGAGAGTGCTACAAAGGCTAAAAGGTAAGTTCTATAGAACGGCGATTCGCCCGACGATGCTATACGGTGCTGAATGTTGGCCTACAAAAAGGCAACATGTCCAACAACTAAGTGTAGCAGAGATGCGTATGTTGCGTTGGTTCTGCGGACACACAAGAGGGGATAGAATCCGGAATGAGGACATTCGAGATAGGGTCGGGATTGCTCCAATTGAGGAGAAATTGGTTCAACATCGGCTGAGGTGGTTCGGACATGTCCAACGGAGGCTTCCTGATGCACCGGTGCGTAGAGGAGTTCTACAGCGGGTCGATGATGTAAAGAGAGGTAGAGGTTGGCCTAAACTCACTTGGGAAGAGTCGGTTAAGTGAGACTTTTAAGATTGAAATATCTCCAAGGATTTAGCGGTGGATTGGAGCGCTTGGAGGCTAGCAATCAACGTGCCAGAACCGTGACTTTTGCTCCTTTCTTTTTTGCTCCAATCTCTTCCTTTTGTTTTGAGCTCTTTTTGTGTTTCTCTTACCATTGGTTCTTTTAGGTTTCATCTCTAGCCTACCCCAACTTGGTTTGAACTAAAAGGCTATATTGTTGTTGTTGTTATTAATTTGCGCTAAGATGTGTAACAAGTAACGTCATAACTTCATAATTCTTGAACAAACACATACTATGTTAATCTCTCCCCATATTAGCTAGTGAATATATTAACTCATTCTAAATAAGTCTCCAAGTCACGTCATAACTTCATAATTCTTGAACAAACACATACTATGTTAATCTCTCCCCATATTAGCTAGTGAATATATTAACTCATTCTAAATAAGTCTCCAAGTCACGTGTCAAAATCTCATTATTCTTGAATATATGCACATAATAATATGTTATTTACTATTTATTTAATATACTCTTATTTTAGATAGGGACAACAAACTAGTGAAGCTATTTGAGACTTTTTGAGTAAATACTCTTATTTTAGATAGGAACAATAAACTAGTGAAGCTACTTGAGACTTTTGAGTTTTGATTGATTGTGGAAACCTCTTTGAGGCTGGTTTATTAACATAATAAACCACACTTTCTCCAAATCATTTGGCTAGATAGGAAATCTAGGGATGAATGTCTCCAAAAGTAAAAAATATGTATTCACCCTTCCATGGTGAATAATATCATTACTTTATTAGATACTTGTAAATGTCATACCGAATTTATAAGCTATTTTCCAAAAGTCAATGAAATCCAAATGAAACACTAGATATTCTCAAAAAATGGAAAAGAAACACATAAAGGAAAGTTGTGGCTAAAACGAAATTTTTTATATTTAGAGGGTAAGAAAATAAAAGAATTTGGCATGGAGATGCTGATAAATAAAGTGCACCAAAAATTCATACCGACTGTGGTCCTGACCGTCCGATCAAATCGCATCCAAGGGACATAATTTCTCCACGCTACCTACCCATCTCCCTTTGATTAATCACCCACTATATGGCTCTAAATGCTTCCACGAACATCACTCGTAAGGCGTCCGATCAAACCCGAATCCGACGGCTACTACCGTGTCATCAATGCCTTCTCCAACCTTCTACCTTAATTCTCTGTTTCTTGTCCTACTGTCGCACTTACGTCCCGCTCTTTTTCCCACACCTACAATAATCTCTCATCCTTGTTGCCTCTTTCTTGAAACTATCTTGTTTTTTCTCTCGCTCTATTCCTCATTCCCTTTTTGCGTGGGCTGTTTCTGTAATTTTGAGAAAGGAAATGCAAGACCAAGCCACAAGTACTTCTTTGGTTGCCAGCTCTTTGCCTTCGAGCAGCGAGAGATCTTCAAGCTCTGCTCTTCATTTTGAAGTTAAAGAAGGTACCAAAATTTTAGATCTTTAATTATTATTTTTTTCTGGGCTCGGATAAAAATTGAATTTTGTCATTCTGTTTAGCTGTGAAGTTCGTTTATGTTTTCGAGAACATTTCTTTTCTGCATGTGTCAGGTGGGTTCACAAACACTTTCCCTAGATGCACCCCTTTTTTTTCCTTCATTTTCCGTATAGAGTTATGGCCATTGGAAGGCAGCTGGTGAATTTTGATCAGAAGCTTTGGATTTATTGTTGTGTGTTTGTTGTCACAGATTCAGTTCATTGGTGTTAAGTTAAATTTACAATCTTTGATATG